ACTGCTAAAACGATGACAAGGAAATGCTCAAGAAACCGTTAAGAGTTTATGAAGATTAGAATGAAATGTCCACATTGAAATCGCATCGCACTGGGTGTGAAAAGCATCTTTGGAATAGAAAAGAAAAGCATGTCCATGAATTAGAAGAATAGTAGCAGGCAGACGGTACCCCACCTCAGCACCCAAGGCATCTACCTCTGTTTCACTTAGCAGGCTGCAAGCTCCCTAAAGGTGGATGCTTTTACCATTCACTGTGTCCCCAACACCAGGCACATTCAAAACATGAGTAAGGAAACAATTCTTTAAATCAATGGATTCCTTTATTTAAACATCAAACATTTTGTCCCTAAGTAATTTTTCTATTACTGCTGACAGTTTTCTAACGTTTACCACTACAACCCCCCAAGTCGTAGAAAAGGCAGCATCACAACAACGCAATGAAACTAGAAAATAAAATGAGAAGGAAATAGGGAATTGGAATCTAGACCTGCTTCCCGATCCTGAAAACCATTCCTTTTGGGAAGCCTCTTTGAAAAGCATTCAAGCCCCTTTAATAAAGTAAGGTTAACACTAGTGTACTGGATAAGCAGTTGAATGTTCTAGATTAAAAAAAAAAAAAAGCTAATATTTGGTATGTATTTCTTTATAGAACTTGATTGCCCTCTAGTGGGGTAAGACATTAATGCAGAAGACCAGGGTGGGGTTTGTTTTTTTTTTCATTTCAAGAACCGGGGTGTTTGGGTCTTTGGTTAATTTGGTATTCACTTTTTGTCTGTCAAGTTTCTTGCATTTTTCATAAACGGTCACAGATTTTGTGACAACGAAAATGGCTTGTCTTTTCCCAACACTCAGGAGGAAGGTTAGTCAGCAGCTTGGTTGACCACGCCCAGGCTCAGGTTTGCATTGGGAGTCTCACCTGCTGCCACACCAGTTTGTGTGAACAAAGGAGCCAGTAGGGTGGTGTGGGGATTGTGGTTAGTGTTAATAACTGGACATTTAAAAAACAAACAGTGGTATAGGCACATCAGGGCTTTTCTCTAAAATGGTCTGGGTTTATCAAAGATGAAAATGCCGAATCAAGTATGCAACTGATTCATTTGTTAATTAATTTAATTGTATAGACAGATTTAACTTAACATTTCTACTTGCCAGCCACGAACAAACCACTCAGATTTAAGAAGCATTTCTGATTCAAAATTATTGGTGGGGAAACGATTTTATTGTGTGGGTCTGTTTAAAAGCACTCTGGGAGATCACTTTTTGAATCTGAAAAGTACTGTCTTGAAGCATCCCCCCCCACCCCCCAAGGATGCGCTATTTGATGAAAGCCATGACAACCTCTCCATTAGTAATGTAAATGTTTGAAGAAATCAGAAGTAATTTAAACTCTAATGTATCAAAGGAAATAGTGCCGCCCACGCTAGAGACTAAGGCAGAGGCAGCTTCTCTAATCATGAAAACGTTTCCTCCTTTAGAATAAAATAATCTATTGCACAAATCTGTCCCCCATACCACAAATACTCCTTGAATTTTATGGATGAGGAAAAAAGATTTCAAAATAAAAAGTCATTCAAATCTTAATGATTTATGACTGGAAAATCTCTCCACCAAATCAAATAAGCAAACAAAACCCTTCTTTCGAGAAATTTTAAAATGCGTAAATGAATATCAACAACCCCAATGAAACCCACTTCCATTGAGCAGGTTCTCCAGGTAGAGCCAGGCTACAGGACAGAGGGGAACTGCCCCAGAGGCTGGGAATCTTTCCAGGGGCCCGAAGCACCTCTTTAACCCCCACCAGCTTTCTCCCCAGGAGATGCTCCTCGGCTTGGACAGCTGCCTGCGTTTCACCACCAGGTGTATCAATTGATGCTATCAGCCTTGTTCCCTGCAACGGACTACAGGGGCTCACTTACGGGCTCATTTACTCATCTGCTATGAACTAAGCATACGCGATTAATTGATAAATGACTGCTGCCTCTCGGTTCCATAATGCCCCAATCCTCAGCATTTCCACTTCTAGTTACTTCTAGATCCACAGAGAAGGTACCAGTACAATCACCTTGAGTATAGTAATTGGTGAATCAAGGAAAAGCACCCTCTCTAGTGATGAACTGCTGGTCCTTTGTAAATGGGATCGCCTTAAAAGGCGACACACGCTCTCCTTCTCATCATGTGCATGTGCAGTTCAATTGTGGCAGAAAGGACCCTGGCCTCCTATTTGGGGTGGGATTTTTTTTAAATTAATGCGATGATGGTTTCCATTTCTCGATCAGTGTTTCTGTGCAGAATTGAGATCTTAACAAGGCATTTGGAAGAACAGCCCAGAAAAGAATCACTCTAATTTTGTCCAGAACCTATATTTGTAGCTATATTAAGATGAAACTTTATGGAAGATAAGAAAATCGCGAAAACGCAGCGGCATTTTTGCCTGTTTTCACCCACTGCAGTCCCCGTAACCACTGGGGACTCTGCCCCTTAGCAAGCACCTGCTCACATATCCCACCCGCAGGAGCGCACATCATCCCGACAGACACATAACAAATAATTTGTTTTATAATGTAAAATATGCCCGACTGGAGACAGAATACTACTGGGCGTGGAGAGTTAGAGATAGGAAAGGGACTTCCACAAAGGTTCATCCTTAGCGAAATGCCTCTAAGGACCCTTTTCTTCCGAGCAAGTAAGGGCACCGAGTCATGAAATCGTGGTTCGAAATGACCATGATGTGCAGTCATAATACCGATGATGACGGCGATGATGACTTTGTGGCCGCCCTCCTGCAGGAGAAATCTCTCCAGAGGGTGCAGAGCGCAAAGCTACCACTATCCCCTTCCCGGTCTCTATTTACAGAACCGTTTTGTGCTAGCAGGTGAATCGCGCATGGTGGGAAAGGGGAGTAGCTCAGGGCACTGCCCAGAACCCCGCTCCCCCAGGGACAAGGGCTCCACTCCTGGTTCCTAGGAGGGGGCCAGGCGCCAGGCACTGCAGGGCTGGCAGCGCTCCACGCTTCCGCCGGCCACGTGCGCCCCAACCCCAGCAGCAGCAGGCAGTAGGCGTGGCTGGGCCCAGCCTGGGAGGGTGGGGTCGAACCCCGCCCCTCGCTAGAGACTGTGCTTCTTTCCAGGGACCCTCCGCGGGGTCTCTATCCCCTGGACTCAGAGAAGAGAGCGTGGGCCTTGGAGTTCGGCGGGGGAGGGAAAGCCTGAGCTCCGAGGGATGTGGGTGGGGGGCCCCGGGGAAGGGTCACCTCTGCGGCCCCCTGGTCCGGGGTGGGGGCCCTGCCTTTGTGTGGCTGGGCGGGGCTCCAGCCAGCCTTTCTGCTGAGCCACCCACTTGGCTGGGAGTGGCTGGGAGGCCAGCCTGGGAGCCCTGCCCGCCGGGGGGTCTGCGCACATCCAGGGGCGCCTGGGCGGTTCCAGGTTGCGGGACTGGAAGAAAGGGGGGGCGCGGCGGATGGGGGCTCCAGCCCCTCTGCAGCTCCGGGAGGGTGGGGGAGCAGGGCGGAGCCCCCAGGCTGCGTTTCCCCTTTGGCATCCAGCAACCGACTCCCAGGCAAGGGGCGCTTCCAGGCACCCAAGGCATGTGGCGCGCAGACTGCTTGGGGCACCCCGCATCGGGAATCTGGTTCCCTCTCTGTATCCTGTATATCTGCCTCGCTGATAGACGTTAAACTCACAAAATAGCTGATATTGGGCCCCTCCCTACCTACAAAAAGGAAATGTCATGTGGCTCAATAAATCGACCACTTCTGCTTCATTTTACGGTTACTTATCGTTGGTTATACCTTTATATTTCATTTGTTATCTAGGCACCAGAAAAGCTCCCCCACCCCCACCCCATCCCAATGATCAAGTGCTCAGACACCTTTATAAGCGTCTATATCCAAGGCCCAATGTGCTGTGGTTCTGAAAGAAAAATGTGAACTTACTTCCCCACCCCCTCCCTCTCTCCAAAGGAACAATGGGGTCGCGGTGGGGGTGGGGCCGGGGGCAGGGTCCAGAGCGCGGGCATGGCGGCCCCGGGTATCTTGCACAGCTCCACGTCTGGCCCCCTTTCTGCTGTAGAC